TGTTACTGTGATGGATCCACAACTATATATAATACTATCTTTGATATCGGTTTGTCCATAGACCTTATACGGTAATATTATACCGTATAAGTTAAGAATACTTTGACTATAATAGATTACGCGAAATATCCCGAAATTTAACACGATAACGTCATGATCATCTAATTATATTATACTTGTCATGAGTCTAATATACTTTTTATAATAACAGTCAACAATTTTTTGTTCTTCGTAATCATGAATATTTATTTTTTCATATAAATATGAGCAATTCAAAACTTTGTTCGAAGCATAAAGAAGGAACTGAAAAAGCACGAGAAAAAATAAAAAACTTCTTTTAAAATCTAGTGCAAAATGTCATAAGTTAATAGATATGTTTAAGATAAAAAAAACTGAAATAGCAGATAAAATTAGTAAAACTGGTAAGTCTATAAAACTAGTCTATTTTCAAAATTAAATTTGTTGATCTTAATTCATTTAGTGTTGTTTCTAACTAAATACAATTTCTACTTGCTTGAACTTATTTAATTAATTTATCCTGGTTATGAATTGCCTTGATAAATATTGCCTAAAATTCATATTAGGCATATAGTGCTTGATATAACTCAAGGCTTATGCTTTGATTTAAATAAATGTTTTGCGTTTAAAAATTAAATACTTTTGTTGTTAATTAATAGTTAATACTAAATTTATTCCATAGATTTTTAAATATTTTAAATATTTAATACCTTTTTAAAAGATAATGAATTTATATTTTTGTTGCATAACATAATTTTATATTTTTATATATATAGGGAACATTTTTGATGAATATCATTTTTATTTGAAAAACAAACTCAATTTTACTTCCTCAGATTGATAGATCGAATAATTTATATGATTTACCTAAGTTCATTCATAATTAATATAACATTTTTTTTTTCATGTGAATATTAATTATGCTTTGGCTTTGTTGCTAATATTATTATGGAGAGCTTGGTGCTGGTTGAAACAAAAAGAGTAGTGAGATTTACCAACATATATTTCTTTTCAAAACCAAAAAGTTGTAACTTATAGTTGTCGTATAATTCTATTAAAAAAATCATTGTATTGCTCAGTTCGTTTAGTATTTTGCCCTCATTTAAATGCTTTTATTGAAGGTATGATCACGTGGTCACATACGTATTAAAAAATAGATAAAGATGAGAATAGTAAAGAACACACTCATGCAGCTGAAGTATATTTTTTAAATTCAAATAAAAATCATATTGATTTCCTTTTATTTTCAAATCAAAAATATCTAGAAAAGAACATATTAAACATAAAATATTAATATTAGAACACATCATTGACGTTATAAAACTTATCAGAAAAAGGGGTCTAAGTTATAGTAGAAATTAAAGTAAATCAGCATATATGTTGGATAGTCTATCAATTGATCATGAACATTTCTTAGATATTCTTCTGTTACTAGATAAATATGATATTTATTTGAATGACCATTTGAAACCCAATATAGAAAAGAGTAAAAAAACTCATATATCAGGAAGTAAAGGATGAGATGGACTCATTATATATATTTCTAAAATCACACTGAATGTCATAATTGATTATCATAGGCATGCGCAGACTTCAACTTCTGGTCAAATTGAATACAATTAGTGCCACAATACTTAGACAGTACTTCTAATTTTTTTCTAACACTTCAACATAGTAAATTCTGTTGTAAATTAAAAACAATGTAGTATTTATATCTATACATAGAATCAAATATTATATTGCTAATTTTTAGACATATATTTTTGATCTTGAAAGTAAAACTTTAAATCATTTAAAATCAAATGATGTTAATACAATTAATTGATTTCCACGAAAATATTAAAATATATATAGACATTTTACTATGCCTCCAAAAAAATTCCGGTCAAGCCGGGGTACGCTTAGCTCGCCCCGTGCGCACGCCTATGTTAATTACATTGGTCGCATTATTAAAAACAAAATATCTGATGCGGTTCGTGAAGCAGGAATGTACTCAATAAAAATTGATACTAAGAATATATCTGTTGTATAAAAACTATGTTAAAGTAAATGAAAAATGAATTGCAATTGTATAATGTTCAATTTCAACCGACCCATACCATGGTTCATTCCATTTTTAATTTAATATTTATTGATATATACCAGTGAAGGCGTGACGGCAGATTTTTGAGTCTCTGGACTCAAGTCAGTGGGTGGGTATTGACCATTGGGTACCGAGTGCTATTCGTAAATATGCATTTGAGAGAGGGGTAGCTCTTTTTACAAGTTACCTTTAAATTTCTTTTTAGGTGGGTGGGTGGGTGGTCAAAATCCTAACAGGACTCATAAAGTAAAATATTTCGCGCCGCCACTGATATGGACTAAGTAAATCGGTTTATGTTATGCTTAAGTTTAAGTTAATTTAAAATGTATAATATTTCAGTACATCTTGTCTTGTAGGACTTATTGGTTGCAAGGAGTTTTTTTACAACTGAAAAAATAAAAATGCTTGACGTCTAACAAAGATGTTCGACTGTTGAAAGAAAACTAAATACAATTACTATCTTTAAGATACGTTTTCATATTAGTACCATCTTATGTTCCTCAATGGTTGCGTGTACGATAACTATTTTAAGATTTTTTCTA